TCTTCACAGCATGGACTCAACATGGACTGCTCAAAAAACTGCTCAAACCCAGAACACCCCTGAACCCAGAAAGCCAGAAACCCTAAATCCCTAAACGCAGGAACCCCGCACCCCACCGGAAGCCCTCACCCAGAAACCCTAAACACCCGAGTCCAGAACCAGAAAAGTTAAACCTAGTCACTAAACCCCTGAACCCCTAATCCCTAAAGCCAGAAAACCAAAAACTCAAACCCAGGAGATAGAAGTTTGGAAGCGCATACAACGGGGATCCCAGCGCTCTGGGGCCTGGCTCTGCTGTTCACTCTACAATGACTGCGTGATCCCCGTCGTTTTTGGGAGCAGGGCTCCGCAAATGCTGCCATGAGCATCCAAAGAATCCCTAACCCTTAACCAGAAACCTCGTTCTTGCCGAAACGACAATGCCGAAACGGATCTATCCCCTCTTTTCGGCGACCCAGGAGATCCAAGACAGCCGGCAGAAATGATTTTCGACCCCGGTTGCAAAACTAGTTTCCCCAGCCCCACCCTTGGAATGTACATTTTGGATTGCCGCACGGGCCCCCGGAATTGTGTATACATTCTTGGGCGTGGCCCTGTGTGCGGGCTTAGTGTTCAAAACCTCGTTGTAGAGCAGAATGTGAAGATGTAGGAGAATCACTGGGGATCGGACAAGACAGCTCATTCAGAGTGGAAAACAGCGAGGAAATTCTGACGAGCAGCGGCTGCCTGCCACGACCGTAATTGTGCAGTGCTGCGCCGAACCAGCACCGAAGAGTCCAGCAGTGCTTCGCAATGGGTTTGACCCGCTGTGGCCAGTGCCAATGTCAAGTCCTCCCACAACTCGACAAACTCCAAGCCTCAGGAAGTTCTTGAAGTGGCAGATGGGGGCCTGCCACAGATTCAAGTACCTCAGCTTATCAGCATGGTGCTCATTACGATGCACTCGCTAGAGGTGGCGCGACTCGTACACAGGTGCGCTGCTGAAGGACGATTGGGGCAGAATCAATTTTCCAAGCTTCACAGCGGTGCTGGGAGCTTCAATGCCGCATTCATCTAGGTCGTCAGGCGAGGCTTCTCGTCATGCGGTTTCGTCAAAATCCAACTCGTTCCATGCCCATGTGAGCACGCGGTTCCCGATAAGGTCTCAAGTTGATCTCCTACACGTGCGACGCAGGAGCCTTTGGCAAAGCCGCTTCGGAGGCGCAACTCTTCACGCAAGCATGGCACCATGGAGCTCCCTGTGAAGATTCAAAGGCCTGATCAAATCCCAGCACTGCACCGTGTGTATCCATCATCCAAACGTTTGCACGGGTTGCCCCTGTGAGTCTCCCGACACGGCCCAGTAATCCTTGACTCATCAATGCTCCTAGCAATCCCCAGATCTCGATTGCGCAGTTTTGTCCTCGCAAAAGAGCTCATCAGCCAGATGAATACCGCAATTGACTTGAGAATGAGAAGTATCACCCATTTCCACTAATGATTGAGACCTCGACGCAGCACAGACTTTCTCTGGCCCTGAGTCATTTGCCTTCTGCTGGGGCCTGCTGCCACGAAGTGGTGTGTCAGCGCCTGGCCAGGGGCCGAGGCTGTATCAGGTGGGGGGTATGCTTTTAAGTTCATGGCGGAGGGCCTCGAAGTACTTGGAATGCATGTCAGAGTCGTCATCTATGACCGTGATGACCTCGGTCTAGCTGCCTAGCCCCTCTCGCACCCTTCGGCAGAAACCTGCAGCTGGGCCCTTCAAGTGAGCGTCGCGCAACCCTGGGATCCTCCGGCATAATCTGGTAGACCTCCCACGCGACTGGAGCAGACTGGGGCCAGGCACTCACAGCGACCAGCTCGAGAACTGGCGGTGCACCCTCATGTCCCTCCAGCGCCTCTTCCAGTTCTCTGCACAGCTGTTGAAAAGCCCAGCACTCGTTGGAAGACCTCGCAGAGCAGTTGCGCAAGTCTCTCAGAGGCTCGTTCAACCGAAATATCTGGCGCATGCGGACTCCTGTGACAAGGCAGAAGCCCATGCACACAGCTCAGCTGGCGAGGTTCTGGCTTTCCAGGCAGATGGTTTGGAAGGTTGGAGGGATGGTACGTCGCATGGATGAAGAAAAACCTCAGATGAACGACTTGATCCACCAATGCTGTTTCAGCCGGAACCATCGGACTAGCGTCCTGGGGAAGTCGTCCTGTCGGCTCGTGTGCTGTAGTGTGCTTCTGCGTCGAAGTGCAGGCTGCAAAGTGTACAGGGACAGGAACTGAGGGACCAAGACCGACAAGGCCCAGGCGTGTCAGCAAACATCTGTCTCAAAGACTTTTCCTGGCTCTGTCATATGCAGATGCTGTAGGTCGGTTCTGCCTCTTGCAAGTCTTTCACTATGCCAACTTGAATGTTCATGCTGCAAGTTCAGGTATGACCCAACCTGAGCAAACAGCTGCAAACGGAACCTTCTCTTGCGCTTCTTCTTCACGCTCCTGCATGGAGAGGCCAGTGACGTGTGAGCCGGAACAGTGGCATGAAGCACATCGGGACGTCAACTGCAGTGTTCACCTCGAATGCCAAGCAAACGGCCAGCTGCCCTTTTGCCTGGCTGTACCTGGGTGCTTGCTGGATGGTGTGATAAGAACGCCCAAACTCTTTCCCACATCTTTGACCCTGACCCACTCACCCGCACTGACTGGCTTTTCCGAGGGCGGGTCTGAGCCAACGAAGTCAACCTGTCAAAAGCTCGGGCGGAATGTGCTTCTCTGTAAGTCCCAGCCATGTGAACCGAGCTCCAAGGCAGGCACGTATGCTCCAGCACCGTCAAGGGGGTGCAGAATGTTGGAAGCATCACCACATGCAGCACGTCGCGCCTCACGTGGCTACAAGACTGCCGTGCAACAACAGGTCGTCATTTTCATATTCTACGCTGTGAGTTCCTCCTCGCACCGATTCACGCGCGCTTGTAATTGCTTGTGGTCTGGATGCAAGCTGCGGCCAAAGTTTCTCGGAGGATCTTGGATCAGGATCCGACAGGGCGCTTCAAAACGTCAGGAGATTCCCTGTAGGACTGCTTTAGAGAATCTCTCGGAATTGCTTTCAAGCGACCCTCCTGGATGCAAGATCCAAGATGTGCCCAGATCTAGAATGTAGCAGCTGGGATCCAACTCGCTTCAGGTTGCTTTGCCTCGATGCTCCGAGGAATTAGTTTCTGGCACCTTGCGTCTTGGGGAGGTGCGCTTTAGAGGGCACTGCCTGCAGCACCCTCCCCTGTACTAAGGTCCTCGGTAATCCCCACAGGATGGGGGATGAGCTCTTTCCACCGGCTCTGTCCGGCAACGGGTCCAACAAATGGGCTTTGGCCGATCAAAAGCTTCGTACATTTTGCGTCTACTACCTGTATAGTTCTTAATTCCTGCAGTCCCGCATTACAAAATCATGCGGGTCTAAGATACGGGTCTTTAAAAAAGTAGGATGCTGAGGTTTGCAGAGTGAAACACAGGACGGTCACAAGTTTTTCGTGTACGCTCCTGTCCTCGAGCCTTTTTATGCAGCAGCTTCATCGACCAAAAGACTTGCTTTAGAAACATAAAGTTTCGCCTGATTGAGAGGATTTTCGATTGCTTCAGTAGTGTCACTGGGAAACGTGATCACCACTAAGCCTGATGGATATGTTTGTGCATGATGCTGTTTGAACCTAAGTTTCACCGTGCATGTTTTGCTGCTTCCTACGTCCTACGCGACCATGATCCCCGTTATTTAGATAGCTGAATTCTTGGCCATGAGTGCAACGACTTTAACCAGGCCGCTACAAGCTTTCTAGTCTCTGCGGTAGCTTGCAACCTCGAAAGGACAGGTGTGCAGAGGAACATGCCCGTATTTCATTAGTTTTCCCACAACAATTTGCAGTAAATCATTGGCACCATAGTCATGGAGGGTTTCAGAAGTAGGCCTCTAAACTCCTGGTCAGCAGGCCAAAATGGACCTCTGCCTTACAAAGCTGACCCGTGCAGTTTCCTAGATCACGAGGCATGCAGAAACGACTCCGCAATATATCTCAATTTCTTACCTGTTTGTTGCAGCAACACAGATGTGTGGTGGGAGGCGCAATGTAGCTATGCTGGCAGAGCAACATCCTGCCTCTCTCTCGTAACAAAGGGCGAGAGCAATCGTGTTTCTTCATATGCTATCGATCAAAAGCTGCCCGGCATGCGAGGGAGCAGGTCATGCACCTTCAACTCTCGATCTGGGCTTCCGGCGTTGTAATGTCCTCGCATGAGACATGCCAAAGAAAGGCGAATGCGACCATTAACTTATGACTTGTGCAAAAACAAATACATGTGTGTTGTCGCCGCCTGAGGAGGTGTGGGGCTGCAACCTGCCAAGGCACAAGCCTGAAACCGCTTCGGCACACTTGCCGACTTGCCGTCTGCAGCTACTAGTAGCCCCGGAACATGTGGACGCGCTGCATGCCATGACGAGTCCTCCTCGTCATCAGCATTTGAAGCAGGCTGCCTGAGAAGTGCAGCAGGCAGCTCAACTCTGGGAAAGTGTGACGACCCATGAAGCCGGGAAAGGAGTCAACACAAAAAGTTACCATTTCACAGTCGATTTCACCGTTGCGATTATCTTGGTTGTCTTCTTGTTTCTTCTGCCCTCAGCTTGTTGGGATCTGTCTGCTGCATGCGGGGATGCACACGTGTTTCCTTGGAGTGCAACTTCTGAGTAACCCGACTTCTTGCGTGGGAACCTGCCAGCCTGAACCAGAATGAGACGAATTGCAGGCTCAACCATCAGCCAGCATCTCACAGTTCTTGTTACCGCTGGTGAGAAGGCTTCGTGGAAGCGTCTGTTTCTGTGCACAGCGGCACTTCGAGTCAATACACAATTTCGTGTTCAGGGTCGGATCGCGGATGAGACCACATTGTGAAGCAGAGGGTGGAGCTAGGAAGCACGCTTAGACGGGGCGGGGCTGGACGAGGAGGTGACAAGCTTACAGCTCGTCCGAGGTTGTCGGCAGCAGTCTTGGGTTCAAAGCGAAAGGCAAAGGGCTGTACAAATAAGCTAGAGTCAAATACAATCCAATTTTTCAAGGGCTTCCTTCAAGAAGCATACTAACGATACTAGGATTTTCGTTGGAGACGAAAGTTCCTCGAAGGCACCGTTTGCATCCGCAGAAACTGAAGAGATCTCTCGATCGATGGGATCGACCTCTTCAATAACAAGACCTCCCTGTACCAGAGACAGGCTTGGCCTGGCCTAGTCAACAAATATGACCCAATATGTATCTATCTGTGTGTATACATGCATGTATATGAATACGGACCTTTTCTATGTTCAAACACTTGCCTTCAGTAATTATCCGTGCTTGCTTTTGTGTGCATGGATACACGCGTTCATTGATTATGATATACTATAATGTTTTACTATATGTTCTATCGTATTACATCATTTTATAGCATACGATACTAAACTAAACTAAATTATACTATACTATACTATACTATACTGTCATCATGTCATATACCGGATTATGCTATGTGGACTTATAATATATAAATATCATACTATATCATACTGTACTATACTATTCTAGCTATACCCCTTCTTATTGCAGTCCATCAAACTATATCATACATTACAATGTATTATGTTATATTATTCTACGTTAGTTATATCATACTAGGTATTCTACGCTATATCATACTAGGTATTCTATGCTATATCATAATATATCATCTTACGTGTTGTGATATTCTAGGCATTCTAGTCTAGTATAGTGTGGTACAGAACAATAAAGTATGTCATAGCATTGTAAGGTACATGATTGCTTCAGATAGACAGACGAACAGACAGATAGATAGATCGATAGATAGATAGATCGATAGATAGATAAACAGATGGATAGATGGATGTATCGAACCATGTTCATGCACGCACATGGTACATCAATTCCTCATCTCAACCTATCCATGTCGCAGAGCACTCCATCTGATGGAGGCGAGTGGCAGATTTCACCGAATGAGACCAAGCCATCCAGACCCAATGTGGAACATGCCATGGTCTGCCGGAGGCCTGTTTTTTCTAGTGCCTGAAATTCGGCGCGTGGGTGCCCACCTTCTCCGGTCTCCACTTCCAGAGACGTGCCATTTGAGCTGAGCTTCCGGCAGGGCCGCTGCACGGGCAGCCCAGTCCTCCTTGCTTGCGTGAAAAACCTGCAGAAGCGATGCTACTTTCTCACTTTAGAGCAGGTGAAATCACAGTATGTGACGCAGACATTGCAGGCAAGAGGGGGGCCCTCATCAGCCCAACCGCGGCGAAAATCAGGAATGTCACGCACCTGCAACTCTATGGAGGAACGAAGTGCACATCTTTGGCCCGCCAATAGCATGCATGGAATCTGAGACCTAATTATGAAGAAAAGAAAGCGGCTCTAAGATTGCACGCGTACGTACACGCCTGCATGAAGACTCTTGCAGTGACCCCTAGTAGGGAGCGGAAGAGTTCCGCGTGCGGGCCGACAAACAGGCTGGCTGCAGGATGCTGCAGAAAAGTTGCAGCCAGAGCAAACCCTTCCCGAAGTCTCATGCTTAGGGGCTCAAGATGAGATGTTCTCGCTGGTGACGGTGACGAGGTCAAGTGCAAGTGGCGAAGACAACGGTGTAATGCCTAGATTGTCTGCACAAAACATGGCAGCTGCACAAGTGAAGCATATAGAAGGTGAAGAGCCTGCAATCGCATCCAATGTATGTTGCAGCAAAGGTCATGATCGGACAACTCCCAAGCTCCCAAAGTTGGGTACTTGGTGCTGTGCGTCAGGGCTAGCAGCACGCCCCAGCGATATTGGCAAATCGCACAGACCTCAAGAAACACAGCACATGTGCAATGGGTGCAGTGAGTCTGAAATATTTGCCTCGATCTGCTAACTCCTGTAATTAACAGGTCCAGGCATAAGGCCTGCTGCGCGACTCCGTGTCCCAGGGTTTTAGGGGTGAAGAAAGGGCTCTGATTCCGGTGTGACACCCGTTCTGTAGTAGAAGACAAATACGAGTACGAGTACTCCTGAGGGTTTGGCCAGCAAGCTAATTGTGCCGCCATAGATCACCAGCGCCGGCCTTGCCGTCAGGGACTCGCGAGGAAATGTCCCACCGGCCAAGCTGGACATCTGTGCTGCCCTGTCTCGTCATATCACACTGCGCGCTGCTGAGCTTAGGGTCCCGCGAAGCTCGCGCCAACATCCGCATTGCTTGGAAGGCAAAACGCCTGCAGGATTGGGTTAGTGTCCCTCAAAGAAAAGTCTCACTTCGCAGCACTTGCGAAGATTCTGCACAGGTCATTCCACCTCCAGCGACTCGTGATGAGCTCATCTTGGTTGAGCTCCAGCACCTTCGTGAGCGGACGCTCACGGCTGCGCATGCCGGAAGATTCAGAGAATGCTGCTGGATGTGGAATCCACGCAAACCCTGTGCAGCCGGACGTCAGCTCTGTCGGAAAGCGAAAAAAAAAAGATCCCAAATTTGGAGACATTCCCTCTTCAAGGGTCACAAACGAGGTGGGAACAATCACCATAGCCACACCATTCCACAAGCATCTCCGAGGAAGTGGCGGACAGCAGCGTGTCGGGATTCTGAAGCATGGCGCACAAAGCCTCCTCAGCCTGAGTAAAATTGCGACTCGGAACGTTCGGTTACCATAATACAGTGTCATACTAATATTACAAAGACTAATAATAAGAAGAAGAATAATAATCATAATAATAATAGTAATAACACGACGAATAATATAGTATAACAGCATGGTAATGATGGTGCCAACCCGGATGCCAAGGCCCGAGCCTCCGTGGGAGGTACCGTTGTCTCCCGTGTCGTGTCTGCTTCTGCAGGATCTTCGCAGTCCGAAGCCAGCAACACCTCGGTCAAACGCCTGCTTGCCGGCAAGCTCGAGGGCTCTGATATTCCAGGTCACAGACTTCTCCGGAATCGAAATCAGAGCTCGAACCAAGGTGCCGACAGATCGGCTAAGCTTTGTCGGTTCCTCGTCTGCGTGCTGCGAGACCTTGGACAAGCACACCGCAAGTATGCCCACCGCTTACACGTTAACGTGCTGTTTGTCTCCATCTACTTATGTACTTTGTTGTGTTCAGAAAGTCTGCTGGTGGCGGTGGAGGCCTGGGAGCCTTGAATTGAAGCGCTCTCGAGATTGCGATTGATTTCTGCGACCCTGACCTCCCCGACCTCTGTGACATTGAGTCGCTACTATTGGATACCCAGAACCGCCCCCATCCACCCATCCATCCATCCATCCATACGACAGAGTTCGTACGTACAACCCGAGGGAATACATACAAACCCACGTGCATACATGCGGACAGACAGACACCCATACTGACAAACGTACTAACAAACAAAAACACAAATAAACGTACTTCTGTACATTGCACAGGTAGGCAGGCAAACCAACGAAGGCATCAACAAATGCAAATGTCAGTGCTTTGTGCGAGGGGACACCGGTGTCGTTTCAGACTTTGCCGTGAGCTACCCGCACTGACATCACCGCAGGCTTGTCTCTTCGCCAATACGGCGACGTAAGAAATCTCCGCTCAATCAAGAAGCTGTTACATGCCAGCACAGGTATCCAGAAAGAGCTATCCGCAACTGTTACAGCTTGTTTTGTGATGTACTGATCCAAGGCATTTGTACACAAAACTGTGTTCAGAGGTACATATGTATATGTATATATATATATACATACATACATGCATGCACATACACTTACGCACAAATTGCTCATTGCTGAGATTTGCTGCTACCATCTCAAAGATCTGACTCAAGGTCTCCAGTGCACGTGAAGTCCATAGCATCTGGAGTAGTATACGAAGCTCACCTTTCCGAAAGGAAAAACGAACATATCTGCAAACTTATCAAAAAAGATGCTTGGCACTTCAAAGTGCCGACCACTGGTCGTTGCTGGAAATACTGCTACTACTGCCAACCAGTCCTGTTCAGTCTTATCTGCAGCTCGGTTGCGCATGCATTTGCGAGGAATGATGGGCACAACAGCTTCACCTGCAAGCAAGCTTCTGCAGGTTGGACCTTTTCTTACACCCAGCCCTAGTTACCTAGTTTTCAAAACCGTGACTTGGACTTCATTTGGTCGGATATGGAAGCACAGCTCGAACCAAGCCAAGCCTCCCGGTGGTCCACCGATATAGATCTTTCTTTGATAAGGCAGTCATCGCCGAGAAGCACCTCTTCGGACCGGATACAACCCCACATCTGCTCGTCCGCACATCTTTCGGTCCATGCTAACATGAACTGCTACGGTAAGCGGTCAGACATGACAATACTAAGCAATGAGATGTAATGTAGAATGATACATAGCAACACGTTAGACTATACAACAGCAGATAAATACATGGAAGGACACGTAGCAGCAATTCACATTTTCGTGCGTACATGCGGAAATACATACCGAAGTACGTACCTGCATACACACACGCATACATGTATCGTTATACATACCTGCCTGCTGGCACGAGGCTATATACTTTGCTAATAGTACCCGTCAACCGTAGTCTCGAATACTATGAATTATGATTGTAGTCTCGAATGCTAATATTATTGCTAGGAGTGAATGTCATTGTCAGTAGTGCTTCCGCTGCAGACTGTGGTTTCGTTCTGGAATCAGAAACAAATCCCCTCATCTATCGCATTATACAGTGGTCTCTACTAGAATGTACAATCGTATAGCACAGCGTATCTGGATGCGAATCGCAGCTGGGGATCCGGCGGCTTCGTGCTCAGTGTCCATGTTTCGGCCGCTTGACAAAACACATTGGTTCAAGCAGAGTGCGGAAATATCGTGAGGTTATAGCGTGACAAAATTGTAAAACTTGCTATGCTCATACCATGATACACGGTATGTTTCTGCATGTGAGGGCTGCGCATTTTTTCACATATTGCGCCTAGGGTGGCATATTTACCCTGAAATTCACAACACAAGTTTACAAATACTGCATTCGGGCATGGAGCTGTCGGCATTGCAATGCAATCTTGCCAGACACTTTGGCCTTGTCGCTCGTCAGGGCTGCGAGCCACATGTGGCTGCCGAAACTGCTGCTGATCGACGAATAACTACCAGCGGGAGAACGGCCCATTGACATATCTCAAGAGGCTACAACGGCTAGTGCATCGCCGATTTCACGCGTAGGTGGTCAAGTCAACACTTGTGGAAAGGCTGTCGCTCGTGTGAACATGCATGTATGTATAAACACACACCAACAAAGCATATCAGCTTATCATTTTGTGTAAATTGCCCACGTGCCTGCTCACTCCAATCATCTCGTCGAGGATATTGCGGGCGCGGCTTGCCATCCTCGGTACAGGCTGAAAGTAATGAATAATATCATTTTCAATCCTGAAAGCTCCCAGGGTTTGTCTGGAACATATACATACGTGTGTATATATATATAATTATATATATATACATACATATATATATATATAATTAATCTACACATATAGGGCTCAAATAGCCGGCAGCAGCGCCAGAAGATTGAAGCCCCAGAACCGGTAGGTTCGCAACTCGCCGTCATCGCGAAACAGAAGGGATCTCGCACTTGGCACAGGCGACTCCGAATGCGGCGAGCGCGCGCCCGCCAGAACTACAGGACCAAGCGTCCCCTCAGCAACCGCCAGGTGCTGCTCTTGGCTGCTCATCACCCCGCCTCTACAGGCTTTTCTGCTCAGCTCCACCTTTTTTGCGTGGGCGTGGCAAAAGATGGCAAGGACACTATGGCTCCGATGGTCGAGCTGGCTCGTGCAAGCCGTCGCCCAAGAGTGGTGCCCTTTGGCGACAGCCAGGTACGAAGGACACCAAGCTTGCGGAAGCCCTTCAGGCCTTCAGGCTGCAGGAGTCGGCTACTTTGGTGGTCCTTTGCAGAACGCTTTGAACGGAGCAAAAAAGGCAGAGCAGAAAGTGATGAAGTTGTACCAGGCCAGGGCAGCGGCAGACGACCAGCGGCAGAGCTACAATGCAAGAGAACTACATCAAGGAGAAGACGAGGTACCAACAGAATGTCGAGAGGATCCTGCGGGATCTGAAGGAGGCCGGGCCGCAATGGCCACAGCACGTGGAGGAGTGACCCATGCTGCGAACGAGGCAGCAGCCTGGGATGCAGAAGCGGCGCCAGACTGGGCAGGAGTGCTGAACCCTGCAATGGACGCCTGGGCTTAGCGTCAATGGCATCGGTCCGATTGTGAGGACCAAGTCAGCCTTCGACACGGCGACTGCATTACCGTTGCATGGAGGGGTCTGAGACAGCACCAATGCTCGTTGACTTCCAGGCTCTGGTTTTTCTCCCTGGAGGCGCAGCCCTCTTCCGACATATCCGGACAGCACAGCAGAAGATCATTATTGCCTGGTCAGCCAAGACACTCGCAGACTGTTCACGCTGCGGCCGCTCTACAGGACAGACATTGCATTACGGCTGGATTGTGACCCAAGAGAAGTGCTGCTAGTTCCTGGTTCTCCTTCGGCTGCCGATGCAGAGCAGTTGTCACAGGCCTTCGCATTGGGCACCTCCCCTGAATATGAACGCCTGTGCGGGCCGCCTGGAAGCTCGCCGTACGCGTCTTTTGCTAGGCTGGCTGCCGCTAATTACCAGTGATGGCTGGATTCATGTTCCTGAAATCAAAGCAAACCTAGGTACTGAGGTTCCTCCGCTATGGTTCGTGCAACTTGAAAGGGTTCCGGAAGAGCAGGAGTGCCTGTACCGTGAACAGGGCACTGCGCCACTGCGCTAGTCCCTATCTGCAGTCCTCAACATCGCGAGGATAACGCCGCGGCCGCGACCAACGGCGCGGCATTACCGGAGGACCCAAGCCAGGCGCATGCCTGACGGAGGTGGAAGTACACCACCGCACGTGCACGCACCTCCAACAGACGCAGCCCACCCCAACATTTCTGCAGGCCTCTGGGCAACTCGGTTCAAAGTTGTATGCTTGCAACTACCTGACTACCTATGGTCAGGTTGCTCTATCTTCGCACCGAGATACGTGTGTCCCTGCCCATCGGACAAGCAAACGAACCTGCACAGTGCCACGCCCGCGATTTGCCGCATACCGCGCCCTGGCATGGAAGCGGACTCGGGTTCAGCCCTCGGCTTAGGTACATCGGACCATGAAATATCGAGCAATACTTCATCCCCACCCCGCCACCAGTGTACCATTGAGGTAGAACCAGCGGCCCAAACTCAATGCACCTTCCTGTGACATCGACAACTAGCGCTGCAACGAATGGTGTCAGCGGCCAGCCGGAGGGTCGAGTCGATGTGTGTTCTGTCGGTTCTAATGGACCAGCCCGACCTCCCGAACTGTTCACCCCTATCCTCTCCTCCGGTGTCCGGCCCAAGACGGAGACCACCGGCCCTAAACTACCGTACGGAGAACTGACGGGCTATTGCGATCCATTGCGACGCCCTGTCGTGGCAGGACCAGATCTCCACAGGCCACTGAAGATTTACGCGCAAGCATCCCACGCCTAGGCCACACAGTTTTGGAAGAGGCTTTCATCCACAACGGTGAGCAGCTCTTCTTGGTGACATGGACTCTACTTGAAACTCTAGAGGAGCACACT